GAATTTGCAAGGACTGAAAGAAGCCTAATTACAATGGGTGACCTTACATAACATCAGGTCAGGTCAATAACATGGGACCCAATAATCCACACACCACCTCCACTGCAAATGAAAGAAGAGCTATGGTGCTCCAGTGTTTCCCTTTTCCTGTATAGTTTTATCAAGATACAGTACTAATGTTCAACCATTCCACAATGTTACAGATTCCTATAAATTGATCAAAACAAAAATTTGATATAAAAACTCATGTGCAAAAAAAAAAGATACAAGCCGCTGTGAACAAGGTGTTTCAAGCTGCAGTGATAAAACCCTATGAGTCCTTCAACCTTAACTGCAGTCCAGTAATGAATAATTATGGCAATATCCATCGATGTATAGATCATATACTCAGAGTATGATGTGCCTAAATTTAGCAACCAAAGGGGAGGCATTCCCACAACCCAGAAATCCCAAAATGATGAGGTTATTGTAAGGGAAGTGCCACTTCTGGCTATCATTAAATGCAGATGATGACACCAGTATCTCAAAGACTACATATACAGTACTACAAAGATGTGTTGTATGAAAATATGTCTGCCCCTCAGGCAGAAGAACACTCTTTCCATATTCATGTACATACTGTACCTGGCTCTGGTTGTGCTGGAGCTCATTATCACCAGATGACATCTGGATGATGTCTTGACTCACTTAACTTTAAATAACCATTTAATAATTCTAAGATGTTACAATCTAGAGATAAAACCCCCAAAATACAACACACTACAGTAGATTTTAGGTAAACCTCCCACATTCTAATGGAATCTGAATAATATCGTAGTAGACTTGGGCAAGATTTCATATATCTGGCAAAATAGTTTAGTAGTGTGTTGTGATGAGAGACTTGGTGGCGGGTCCTGGCCACCAGCTCACTGGTTAACTTCCAACCATGTCATTAAGCAATTGTAGAAACTCTGGCAACACAATACAATACCTAAAGGATGAAACTAATGCCAAGAAATGTGTGACAAACAATCTATCCCATTTAAGTGTCCCATAATATGATACTATACTGTAGGTAGCACTTTGCTGCCAAATACATAGTGTCAGGTAGTAGACATTCAATCGGTGTAAACTGCCTAACTATGACACTGCAACCAGTTTTCTAGCCAGTATGAGTCAGAGTGCATGTACATTAGCATAGCAAGTGATGAATCTTAGCTCTTGACATAACTAGCAACTGAATCTTCCACCCCCCCCCCCCTTATTAAAGGTGATGTATGAATTCTCAATAGTATACCTTTATGGCTTTAGTTTAATTCATGAACACAACAAAGGGGTCATTTAAATATCTGCACATGTATAATCTTTCATTTTAGGTGAGCTAAGTTATATGCCTTATTGGAATGCAAATGTTTTTACTTCTTTTTCATACTGGAAAGTGTTATCCATACAGCAACACATAATAATTATGGAAAAGATCATGTACCACCCTGCTTCTAATCTTGAAATTGTTGACACAGGCAACATTCTGAGCACAAGTAAACTCCCAATAATAAAATAATTAGGTTAAAAGAAACCTGTAAGTACCAATATAGTTGAACATTTAATATTCAAGTTACCTTTACAAAAATATACCTTGAAAATCACCATGCGTCTTCCAGGACACGAATTGATAGTTGTAGCAGGGGTTTTCTTAGGGTCAACTCAAATCAACCCCTTACAAAGACTGTTACCTCATTACAGTACTTAGCAATTACAAGTATTCTCTATACAGTACCATAAAACTATTGATTTAACTAATATTGTTGATATATTGCAAAAATAATAAAAATAAACCCTTGCTGCTGTGTGGTTTGTTTACTAATGGCAGTGGTGCGGCAGCACCATCTACTGAGGAATGCTAAAGGTTGTCTGCTGGTCTCCAAATGCAGGAATGTTTGTTTCTTTATATGTAGGCTCTCATATTTGGACACCTATTTACAGTAGGCTCTCATATTTGGATACCCATTTAGACTGTAAAAACCCCACAAAATAAAAATCTTCCAAATATAAATACAACTTCGTCATCCAAGTAAAAACACACACAACAACATTGGCTGTCCTTATGTTTTGAACTTTACCACCACTGGTGGGTAGAATTTTTGTTTTAAATTCAGAAACATTAATTAAAATATATATATGAACAGTAAATGAGTGTTGCTTTCATTTTCTTATGTAGAGTAAAAACGAAATGTTTTTACATGTGCGCACTTACATATGTGCAGTCTCACTTTTTCCTTTACCATTAATGGTTAGCTACTTCTATTGTTCTATTTATTAACATTAGATAACATTACTTAAAACAACCATATTAATTTTTCTACATTAATTTTACTACAGCTACAACTGGGGTCTTATTTTCTTCAGTTTTATAATTATGTAGAACTAATCTGTCACTGGTTTTGCAAACAATGAGTTGTTTTTTTAGTTTTATTTTTTTTTAAATAAAGATTTTTTGTTTCATTTAGACGTTGATATACAAGTTTACAATTGCTTACCTTCTACTGTTGGAAAATATTTCCCATCGTTGTCATACCGACAAAAACAAGAGAAAGAATGTAAACACTACAGCCCCTAAGATGTGGAGGTGACCAGGTGTATAAAATGAGTGCTGTACAGTATTAAAGATTTCACCTTCTTATACAGATTTTTTTTTTAAATTGATGAAAATGACGACTGATAAGCAGTTCTAAGTGATGATATTCAAAGAGGTGTGTGTACTTGTGCCAAAAGGGCTATATATCAAGCAACGGTTTCACTGGTGTCGGTAGTAGGCAGCTACCAAACAGGGAGGTACTACTGCCTGGGAAGATATTGGTAGACCCTGCTGCCATATGGCATCACAAAAATTGTGACCAAGTCCCAGGTTGCTCATCTGACTTTCTGCCTCATTTACACACAATTGCAGGGTCTCAATTGTTTCTCTTACTTTGACAACACAACATACATACAGTACTGTATATTGTTTCTCACTCTTGATTTTTTTTTCATTTTTGTATTTCTTTATGGTTCTCTAATATTATTATTATTATTATTATTATTATTATTATTATTACATTTTCGCCCCCTAGGCCCCGATGTGGGTCAGTGACCTGTGCCCAGGTGGGCTAATACCCATAAAAAAAAAAAAAAAATCCAAAATCAGGGTGCGTCTTCCAAGCCGAAAAATACGGTAATTCAAAATACAGTAAACCCTCAAAAGTCTGGACAATTTGAGGGGAAAGGGGGGTCCGAACTTGCCAATTGTCTGGACATTTAACAAGTGGGGGCTCTGGGGGCCACTGTGTAACTAAGCAGCCACTCATCAGCCCTGAAATGACCCTTAAATTTGCATTTTAATATGCAATAAATGCCATGTGAGTTTCCTTTTACATTTTCCTTTATATATAGTGGTACAGTTCATAAAAAAAATATATATATCTTTTATATTGTATAATACTGTATTTTACTTCATTTACAGGCAGTCTCCGACTTACGGAGGGGTTAGGGACCCAAATCCAGGTCATAAGTCAAAAATGCAAAAAAATAATAAATAGAAAATCTAAAATGAAATACAGTACAGTAAAAGTAATCAATAATGAAGAATGAATACAGCATTACTGTGCACTTCCCTTTAATGTAGTCAGCTGAATGCACACAGGGCCCCAATAATTGTTTAATTAAACATGGAGACTACATTAATTGGATGAAGCAGAGGAGGAGACAGGGCTAGGTGGGTCATCAATGTCGGTTTCTTCAGACAGGCTAACATACTTACTTGTTGAAGGTATTGGATCATCTTTAGGGAGTGAAGAGGCAGCACTGGTGGGGAGTGAGGAGACAGCAGTGGGGTACTCCTTAAAACATATGTTAAATTTAGACTGCACAGTTTGCCTCTTCTTTTCATTGTAAATATCCCTGTAGCAAGCAAGTGCATCTTGGATCATTCTGTCAACTTTTACAAAACGCTCAACATTTTGATCCATTTCGTCAAACAATTGCATCCCCTTATTAATAGTAGCAAATGCCTCTGCCATTTGTTTCTTCTGAGCACCACCAGAACTCTCACTTTTATGCTTGCCAGTCATTTTAAAGGGAATTAGAACAGCAAAATATTGAAAATATTGTCAGTACACAGCGCGATCACTACTGACAACAACGACGGCCAAACACCAACTGAGCGTGCTATGGCGTGGAAGCTGTACACTTCAAAATAAAAGGACAAGCCAAATCAAAAGGTAAACTCTTACATGATGGTACTGACTACTCGCCCCCTCCCTAAAGGTGGGGGAGTTGGGAATGGGACTATATGTTGTCAATTCAGTGTTTGTTTTTATTCATTCATTATTATATTCCCATACGATCAGCTTCTTATGGTGTATGTTTCATCATTAATAATATTGAATATTAAATAATAGAAAAATTACAATACAGGTATATAATTTGTAAATGACTTCAAAATAATGGAAACTGAGATGGACTGCGTCAGGTGTGTGTGCATATGAATAATGCAATATGTGCTCGTCTTCTGCTGGCAGCAATTTAAAATAACCGGGCGTAGCAGGAATTTCAAATGACAAATATTTAAGGGTTCAGACAATCGAGGGTTTACTGTACAGAGTACTGTATTTTGAAATATTGCAAAATATTTGCAAAATTGCATAATGTTTGAAAAGGTTTTGAACCCCATGCTATTCCAAATTGCAGAGGGGTTACTGCAATTACCGGGTAAGTATTTTTAATTTATTTTAATAGATGTAAAAATAATGTTACCATAATACAGGTGCTCCTCTACTTAAGAACGTTCAACTTACAAACTTCCAGAGATACAAACATCATCACTGACGGGGGGTACCTGCCAGAACAGGTGTTTAATGCGGATGAGACTGGATTATTTTTAAGAAAATTCCAGATAGAACAAACATTAACTAAGAGGAGAAGAGTGAGCCAGGTTTTAAGGGGCTGTATTAAAGGGTATAGCTGTACTAAATATCCATAATCTTTTCATTTTTTACAATATGTTTGGTATCTACAAGAGTAAAGTTAGACTTACAAACAATTGGACTTAAAAACAAGCCTCAGGAACGTAACTCGTTCGTAAGTAGAGGAGCACCTCTATTAAAAAAAGATAACTTGATATATAACATTTTGTAACAAACATTTTCCTACCAACAAAACAGCCTGGATGATTACTGCATTGCACACTTACTTCTTACAGAAAAAAGAAGTAATGTTCTTTGACCCTGATGCTGATTTGGCAAGAGCCTTAGCCTTTGCTGTCTGTGGCGTTTTTACCTAAAAAACAAAACAAAAAGATTGAAACACTGTACATAAAAAATTAAGTAATTTGTGTCAAGTTTTTCCCTAAAGCATTCAACTCATAGACCCTGAGGAAAACAAAGCACTAAAACTGCAACAAAACAGAGATCATAAATCAACCAGCTCCCACCTCAGCAGGGAAATTGAGGGAATGTTAAGAGCATTCTTATGGTACTGTATACGTTTCTTGGACTAAATGTGCATATTGAAAAATTTTAGTAACTTATTATAGATAGCTGTAGCATTTCTAAGAGGGTTTATTCCTTAGAAAGTTTAGCAAAGAGGAAAAAAATTTCATACTTTTAAAGCTAAAAAAAAAAGAGGGGGGGGGGGGCATTTCATTTCCCCCTAAGAAGCACAGCAGCCAAAATCAAAATTGTACACAAACTCTCCTCTCATAAATTTCACTTAATCACAATACAGTACTAACTAGTTTCCTTTCCAATAAAGTCCAGCAATTCATTATTGAAAAACTCCACTCAATAATCTAATTCCACTGAAATTTCAGCAACAGAACACTTTATCAGTGAAGCCAAATGGAAAATATGTGAATGTAACGGAAGAGGCACACCATGTCCACCACTCTCCCATACATCTGCATTTTGTCTGTTTGGTTGGCTAGCCAGTGTATTGTAATCAAATTTTCTATTTCACATGTCACTACCGTCAATTTCTTCCCTCCCTCCCACCATGTGGCCAGTCACCACTATCAGAAAGTTCACTTGATTCTTTTAAATTAATCTAAATCAATGATTCCATAAAATCAAAGTACAGTACCAGTCAGTATTTGGTGAAGAGTGAAGCACCATGTTACAATACTGTACTGTCTTCCAACTTCTTGATCAAACCTTACCAGAAGAGACAATTAATATAAAAACCAATGTATGGCAAAACTATATGGGTGGTAAATAACCTTATTAGGTATATTTGTTGGTGGGGGGAGGGTATTAAAATTATATTGGGTGTACAGTATATGGGCCAGCCGAAGTGACAGGGTTAAAGGGGTGTAAAAGTTGCATCAATCCAAAGACCTTTTGCCATTTTCACAACCACCTAAAGATCTCTTGCTACAAATACAGTGATATCTCCGTTAACCAGAACAACTAGTGCAGAGCACTTCCGGGAATGAGAGGTTTCCGGGTACAGTAGAACGTCGATTTAAAGCGAATCAATTCAAGATTTTTTATTTAAAGCGACACCCACAATTAAGGACAACGTTTTAATTTAAAGAGAATCTTTCCTATTTTGCGCGAGTCAATCTGGCGCATCATATTTAAAATTTTGCGCCAAATGTTTCTCTGGGCACGTTACACTGTCCTAAGGCCAAAGCTGTACTGTACATGTACTCAAAATAATGTACTAAATGATTACTAAAATTTTTGTCTAGTGCAAACTATAGCATGTTTACATTTAAATTAATCACTATCTTATAAGAATTCCAGAAATGTGAATTATATTCTCCCCGGTCACTTCTGTCACATTTTATAAGCAAAAACATAAACTCAAGCTAAAGGAATAAATAAAAAAATAAATACTTCACTAGACCTTAGGGGCCAACTGTCAAACATGTCACTGTCACTTCCCAGCCAGGGTTTGGTGTTTTAGGCTTAAAGTTTTTATCATATATAATATCACAGACTAAAGTTAGGAGAATATAAACTGTATTGCTAGATTCCTTGTAAGACAGCAAATTATTTGAATATAAACGTCATATATTTTGCACGAGATAAAAATTTTTGCTCTCTGTAATAAAATTCTTATATTAGAACTAAAATTTGTATGTCTAATGCGAGCTATAGCATGTTTATATTCAAATTAATCAATATCTTATGAGAATTCCAGCAATGTTAATAATATTCTCCCATGTCAGTTCAGTGACATTTTATAGTAGAAAAACTTAAAGACACTCTTAAGTACAGATAAATAAATAAGCACCAGACCTTGGCATCAACTGTCAAACATATCACCCCCCCCTCCCCCCAGCCAGTAAACAGACCATTTCACATCCCTTAATTTTAGCTGTGTTGATTTATGGGTGTTTGTTTTAACATAATACTACAAAAAACAATGTTTTGTTTATTCTAGATGGGCTGAGGTGCATCTGGATAGACTCTCAGTCTTTTTAGTATTTTGTGTTTCTCTCAAGTACCAAACTAAATTATTCCATTGAAACAACACTTCGACTTAATGCAAATTCGGTTTAAAGCGACCTCTCTTGGCTTGCACTATATCAAGACGTTCTACAGTAACGAGATGACTCTCTCAAAGCTGGAAAAATATCCCTCATCCCCGGAATTTTCTGGACAATGGAAAAATATTCTTGTAAGTTCCAGAAATTGTGCATTACATTATCTCTTGAACCCGGAAAAATATCCCCATCCCTGGAATTGGAAAACTTTTGTTAGAATTTCCGGAAAATGCAGTATTTTCATCTATCAAACCGGGAAAAAATCTCATTCCAGGAATTTTCCAAGTACTATTGGTAAATTTTTTCGGAATTTTCCTGAAAATGTACCCTCGGAAAAATTTTCCCAAAGCCGGAATTTTCGGGAAAATCCGGCTTTGGGGACGATTTCCCGAGTAAATTTTAATTCCAACTATCACAGAGTTCCGGGTTTGAGGGTTTATATAATAGAGTTGAACCTACCTTAAACCTTATGAAAGCCAATAAGAATGAAACCCATATTTAATAACAGACACCTGTATTAAAATAATAGTTTCAATGCCCACAGCACCCTCCTCATTTGTCAGCACAAGGGTACACTAATACTCACAAGTAAAAAAGATACCAGTAGCATCTAAACTGTACTATTTTAAGATAAATTTCTGTTATAAAATGTGAGTTTGATTTTCAATGCTGGCATTCATGTTACTGTCAAGCTTTCCCAGACATATGAATAAAGCTTTATTTAGACAACTTGCCTACCATCAGGATTGAAGGGTTAATCTTGCACCACACTTTATGATCTACCCTAATATAGAGCCTCCTGCTTAAGGCTTGACAGGGTGAAAGTATTTAGATACATACAATTCTAAACCAACATTATTCATATCTAGAGATACCTTATTCACAGGGGTATTATTCTTAGTGTAATCCTCCACAGGGCCTTCTGCTTTCTGTTTCTTAGATGGTGGTTGATTCTCCATCCCCATTAGATGTTTCTGCTTGTTTTTTACTTCTGGCAACTTCAAGTGCTTGTGAAGCAATTGGCTAAGGTCCTTAGACACATATTCTGATACGATGCCATGTGCCAAGACCAGATATGCCTCTGCAAAGTAAGATCTCGTGTACTCAAAGAACCTCTGTCAAATATGATGAGATACAAAATAAGAAATTATATGGCAAAGATTCATTAATAACTTTCAAAGAATTTAAATGGATGCCATTACAAAATTACACACACACACACACACACACAGGTACTGTATCCCCCTATATACGATGTGGTTACGTTCCTGAAATTCCCATCGCAGGTCAAAATATCGTAATCGGGATCATTATAACATGAGATTCAATGGGATATGTTCAAAGGCAGTTTGACACCCACATGATCACCAAAATAAAATTCCTACATTAATAATATACATGTATCCTCAATAATCGTGGGGATTAGGTTCCAAAAAACTACCATGATAAGGAAAACCTTTATCCGGCATTCCAAAAACCGAAAAGCTCTGAAAACCGAAAGCTTTTTTGTGTTGCATCACTGTGTGAAATCAAACATGACTTGGACCTGGCAGAGGGTGTGAGTGAGGCGTGAGTGAGGTGTGAGTGAGGCGTCACTTGTGTCTCAGTGTTGCTACTAGTCACACATTTGCGTCTGCTGCTCTTATATTTTTATGGAATTTTGTTTAATTTCACTGAAAATGCCAAAAAGAGCTTCAGATACCCCTATGGGTAACAGTGAGAAGAAAAGGAAGCGTCTCTCATTATTGATAGCACAGAAAGTGGAGTTGTTACAGAAGCTTGATCGTGGTGTACCTGTGCGGCATCTTACTTAAAAATATGGTGTGGGAACTACCACCGTATATGACTTAAAGAAACAGAAAAACAAATTGTTGAAGTTTTACTCTGACAGTGATGACCCAAAAATAATGAAAAACAGAAAAACATTGCATAGGGCAAAAAATGAAGATATTGACTGCGTGCTGATTGAGTGGATTCGACAACGAAGAAGTGAACGTATGCCACTGATTGGTTTGATGGTCATGAAACAAGCTAAAATATACCATGAAGAACTGAACATTGATGGCGAGTGTGAATATTCAGAAGGTTGGCTGCAGAAATTTAAGAAGCGTCATGGTATAAAATATCTGAAAATCTGTGGTGAAAAAGCTTCTGCTGATCATGAAGCAGCTGAACATTACATTGACGAATTTGCCAAAATTATATCTGATGAAAACCTTAGCCCTGAACAAATTTACAACGCTGATGAAACAGCTCTGTACTGGCGCTACGTTCCTAGAAATACGTTAACAACGGCTGATGAGAGAGCACCAACAGGTGTTAAGGATGCTAAGGACAGGTTGACTGTTCTTGGGTGTGCCAATGCTGCAGGCACACACAAGTTAAAGTTAGCAGTGATTGGAAAAAGCCGACGACCAAGATGTCTGAAAGGTGTACACAATTTACCTGTGCATTATTATGCCAACAAGAAAGCATGGGTAACCAGAGAAATATTTTCTGAATGCTTCAATAACCACTTTGTGCCAGCAGCACGAGCTCATTGCAGGGTAGCTGGACTGGAAGCAAACTGTAAAATTCTATTGTTCCTGGACAACTGCTCCACACATCCCCCTGCTGAACTTCTTGTGAAAAGTAATGTTTTTGGCATTTACTTTCCCCCCAATGTGACGTCTTTAATACAGCCTTGTGACCAAGGAATTTTATGCTCCATGAAGAGCAAATATAAAGATGTTTTTCTGAACTGTATGCTTGATGCAGTCAACAGAGGCGTAGGTATCCAAAGCTTCACGAAAGAGTTCAATGTTAAGAATGCCATTTATTCAGTTGCTAATGCTTGGAACACTGTTGATAAACCAACATTAACAAATGCTTGGCACAAACTTTGGCCTACAACGATGTTTGAAGTAAATGAAGATGCAGATGAAGACTTTGAAGGATTTTGTGTCACTAAAGAGAAGATGATGATATCAAACCTCCTTACTTACGCCAAAGGTTTATCTTCCGAAAGTGTAAATAAGTTGGAGGAAGCCGACATTGAAGAAGTGCTGAGCATTGACAATGATGCACCTGTTGTGCTTTCATTGAGTGATGGGGAAATAGCTGAAATGGTGCTAAATAAAGATAAGCATGAGGATAGTAGTGATGATGATGATGAAATTGTGAACACAGGTGAAAAAGTCTCCCTAGACGATGTGGTGAAAACCTGTGATCAGTTAATTACTGCCCTTGAGCACGAGATTATGGCAGTTTATTCAATTAACGAGAGACTGCTTAGACAGAAACCACTGTTAATGAGACAGATGACACTGGAAGAAGCCTTTAAAAAGGCAATCTGTCCTAGTGTTGAGTCATCACTTGAGAGTCCTGTTCCTGGCCCATCTTCAGATGTTCGATTCCTACTTGATGATGACAACACTGATGTGTCCTCTTCATGATAAACAAGCCAGCTGTAATGTACCTTTACTGTATCTGTTTGAAGTTTTCCTGAATGTTTTCCTTACAAATAAACTGTACTAGAGTATTTATGGACTATATTTATCCCACAATTTCATTTATGCCAAACCTAACTGAACTGAATTGAAACTAACCTAACCCAACAACCTAACCATTCTGAAAACCGAAAAATTCCGAAAACCGAAATATGTCTGGCCCCAAGGATTTCGGATAAGGGATTGTCAACCTGTATCGAAATACATAACATATGGAAAAAATTAGTTTTGTCCCAGGACCCCAAAGATGCATCCCCAAACTGCCCAAAATATACCCCCAAAAATGTGTAGGTACACTAAAAGATATAATACTAGTAACATACCTTTACTAATTAATGAATAACAAATAAACAATGTACAATACTGTGCTGTAAAATATTGTATTGTGAATGACAGTCAGAGTAGAATGAGAGGCAGAGTGTTGGTGAGATGCAGTGGGTGGGAGGGAGGGAGGAAGGTGAGATATTGTGAGGTGAATATCGTGCTCATCTGCTCTGGCTAAAGCAAAGCCATCACTGAAATTATGATAAAGGCGGTGGTGATCATGGAGCTGGTGGTGGAGGGGGAGAATGTGGTAAGTGGTGAGGAGATGGTGAGTCAATTGCTTTGTTTGGTAACAGTGGCTGCAGCACCGCCAGACACAACTGAACAGCTGATGTCTACCCACAATAATAAGTGTAATTATAAATGAACAACATTGTATTCCTTCCACACTGTTACATAAATTTATAATTATGGAGTGAGAAAGCAGAATGGTGAGGGTGATTAGAGAAATGCAGTGGAAGGAAGTGGTAAAACACAATTGGGTGTGTTGCCAAGCGCATGCGTATCCTTGTCGGGAATATCAAAACATTCAACCAGAGAATACACCCATCTTCGTCGCTTGGCTGGATCAGGAACCTTAACACTTCTTGTTCACAGATGCACATGGTGGAGGATAAGTAAAAGTTACAAAAATTACACCAAAAACAAGCATAGAGCAGGGAACCGTCTTCAAACACCAACCAAAACAGCACAGGGAAACAAATGCTGTCCCTGGAAGCTGGCGCCACAAGCTGTGTTGCCATCTCTTGGCAGTCACTGCTACCGCTGGCTCTCGCAGACCCGCCGCTATCCCATGATAATTCCGCAATAACCCAGATCAATCAGTGATAAGCGTACACATGGTTGCAATTGAGGATTCCGTGATAAGCCAGATCAGCGATTATCGGGTCCCGTGATTATCGAGGATACATGTACATAAAACACAATTAAACAACACTCGCCACATTACAGTCAGTCCGCGCTTAACGTCAACCCACTGAACGTTGTTTCGGTACTACGTCGCTAAACCTTAGAGACCAAAAAATTTTTTATCGTCCCGATGATCGGATACTACGTCGTTTTGTGAGCACCAATACAAACTTGGTAGTTGTATATGTATGCACTATTTTTTATAGAAATGGCAATGATTTTCTGTATATGTAATGTACTTCATGGGGCAAAGGGAGGCTCAGGAACGTAACTCCTGTAATTTATCTATTTCTTATGGGGAAAACTGATCCGCTTAACGTTGTTTCGTACAACGTCGCATTTTTAGGAACGTAACTCCGACGTTAAGCGAGGACTTACTGTATTAAAAACAAGCCTGGTCATCATCACATGTCCCCTTTGAGGCTAAGGGGACTCTTGAATGTAGTGGAGATGTCACTCTAACTCCCACACAGCTTCAAAATGTCAAGTTTTACCTCCATTTTCAAAGTTACACTGCTCACTTCAGTCACAAAAACAGGGCAAGAGCACTTGTCACAAAAACAAAGCGAATGAAGATAACGTAAAAACAATGATAGCATCTGACACTGCCCACATCATGTTCACATCAACAGAGGCAAAGCACTTTACAGTAAAAAAATAAAAAAAATAAATAAATAAAAAAAAATAAAATAAAAATAAAATCACTTCAGTTACCATAACAGAGTATAATGTGAACTTAAGTGATAGCCACTCACTGAAAAAAAAGAAAAAGATGATAAGTTGATAAGTAAAAACAGTGACACAGCACCAATACTGTACTGACTGATATAATCATTGAGCTATATGATCACAGGCTTGTGTGATCACCATGGAACAAAGCATGGGATGGTAGATGGTAGTGCACTGGGTGGCCGCATGGCGGCGCACAGCTAGACTACAGCTGACAAATGCACCGAAAGATGCACCTCATATTCTGCGATGACCGGACGATGACCATCATCTAAGCGTATTTTTTTTTATCGTAAATTGGTGAGTGGTCTTAATACATCACCATCGTTCAAGTGAAATATCATAGTGAGGGAGATCATAAATCAGGGGAAATCTGTAATGCCTGATATGTTACATTACTGAGATCAGGAATATGTACTGTACAGTGGTCCCTCGGTTAACGAACACAATTCATTCCACAGAGTCATTCGTTAACCGAAAATTTCGTTAACCAAATCTAATATTTCAATGGGATATTGGGTAATTGGTTCCAATTCACAGAAAAAGTACATACAAAGTACTGTATACAAGTAATAGAATTAACAAAACATTATATATGAAAAAATACAGTACTGTACTGTACAGTATACTGTAAAATAATAAATAAAAAACAATAGAATACTGTACTGTATTTTAACTTTGAGGTGTGTATGTCGTATTACCAGCAGCTTTGTTTACATATCAAACAGTTGATTGTAGAGGCAGTCGATGATGACATGCCATATTCTTTACAGAGTGCATTGGTTCTAATGCCTTCTTCATGTTTCATAATAATTTCTGCATTGTATATTATCAATATTTCTAACTAAATTTCAGAATGACCAATAATTTTAAAATAAAAAATGCAGAAATATTCTGGAGACCAAATTTCTTTATATTTACTTCACTGGAAACGAATGTAAACATAGAGTCAATTACTATATTGGCAGACTAGCCAATCAGCTGATCAGCTGATGCGCACAACAATTTCGTGTTTGTCGTAAGGATTTCGATAATTGAAGTTTTGTTCGTTAATCGAACTGAAAATCCTTATGGAAGTTAATTCGTTAACCGAAATTTCAGTAATTGAACCGTTCGTGCTGTACTCATTCATTGCGCACTCAAAATTATTCTACTTCCGAGCATCTGCAGTTTAGTGGCGAGTGCTAGGTCTTGACCCTGCCATAGCAAAAGAGTAAACATTTCACTATATCTCCTTTAACTTTATTCACCTCAATTGCATTTCTAGAATTGCACTCTAAAAATATTCACATTCCTTTTCAGTCTCTTTTCATTAAAAATTACTTACATATACCTGCATATAAAAAAAAAATCATTCCTTTAAGTCTTTCAGCCATATTTACTTTCCTAAGCTTGGGTAATTTTAAAACCTTCCTAATTCATTCATTCTCCTTTACCCTCAACTTTCACACCAGATCACATACAGGTAATTTAGTTTCAGACATCTGTGTACTGCCAAAAACAACTGACTAACTTCTCCACTGTCTATTTAGGAATTACTTTCTTTTTAAACCTATGAGTAAACATTCCTATCATTTCTTAATTTCCATTAAATTCCTGGCATTCCGACCAGAGCACCCCGTCCGAATATTTTCCCGCCATTTTTTATTATTATTATTATCATTTTTGGAAAAGTTTACTTTTTCCCTCAATTTATCCCTGGGGGTGGGGGTCACTGCCAGCAGCACCCTAACCCGGGCCTTAAGGGTTAACCCACAAATGCAATCACTTCCCATCACCCTCTTTTTTATTTAAATCTTCTATAACTACTATAACAATCGTACTGAGTGACACTGAGACCCAAGTACAGTATTAAAGATCTTTAAACTCCAGTAGAATCCTTTATTTACCTACCTATTGTTTGCTCAGAATCCATTGTACGAACATAAGTGAAGCTCTGACCACTGGATGTTGGAACCTTCTTTTCTTGCAATAATTTGAAGAGCTGCCTAACTCGCTCTTCCAACCAAGACAGGGTGCGGGCTTCACTGTATTTCCATACTCCAAGCTCAGCCGTTCCTTGAAGATAAATCAAGTTAATATTTAAACATAAATCACATCATCTATATTGGGAAAGATGATATAGGATTATAAAGTAGAAGGGAGAAGAAATGTGTGAACACTGCTAAGGTGTACAGGAATAGTATGGATTAAATAAACTCTCTAGAAGCTAAGACAAAGAGACATTAAGATATTTTTGTTCTTTATAAAGGCACAGATATCCCTTGACTTACAAAGGGTTACACATTCCTGAAAACACGTCTTTATCTCAAATAAAATTTCCCTTTGACATCCATTTTGTAACTGAGGATGCATTCCTACACACAAGAATTTTATCTCTGAAACATACTAAATTAACTCCTAAGACTATTTTCAACCCCTTCACTATGGAGACGCCTCTTTTAGTACTCTATTTCCTTTGGTTAAAGCCAGACGATTTTAGAATTGCAATTAAATGTCAGGTAGCGACGTGTCCTCCTAATATTACGTATTTAAGTAATTATTATATGTTTTAATTGTTTGTATGTTGGCCTGGCAAGTTAATGCTAGGCATTTGCATACCTGTAGGTATAAAGCTAGACATCGCATTCTGGACTTTATCACAAAAACTGGTTTTTGGAAACAACAGCTTTTTTATAGACTATGTATGGTAATAATAATACAGTATTTGATTATACAGTACAGTATAGTCTGGGTTTACGCGGATATTTCATACGTGATTTGCCATTTACGCGGCACCTCTCCAGACACGGCAATTATTATTTACGCGGTAAATGCCATCATATACGCGCCAAGCGGCCGGCAAGGTGCTGGGCTCTGACGTCACCGCTGATGTCAGACTCGTGCCGATGGCGTCGCGGACAGTGATTGAGCCACGTATCCTTATCACCCACGCACCCCCTCTACCGCATGCTGTGATTGGTCTATTTAACCTTGCTTGCCCTGCCACCAGGGCTGATGACCTTGGCAGCGCCCGTCTCACTGTCCCCGCGTATACTCACTCGTGCCCAGGAACCGGTTTTGTTTTTTTCTTTCAACACAATGGCTACCGCTGGACCCCCACCACCCCTGAGAAACCCTGAACTACCTGGCCCAAGCCGTCCCAAGCCCAAGAAGGTGCGACGCGCCTTAAGCTATGAGGTTAAGTACAAGATCGTTCAGGAGTTAAAAGGCACGAGGCAGGTGGATCTGGCCAGACAATATGGAGTGAATGAATCGACGATTCGCACGATCAAGAAGGATGCCAGCAAAATCAATGAACACATGAACATTACCAAGTCTGTAGGTGCCTCGCTGGTGAAATATTGCCACAATAAGGTGCTGCTGAAGACCGAGAGTTGTTTGGTAAGCGACATTATTCGTCAGACAAGAAGGAACATGGCGGTCGACATTCGGGCAGTGCAGGACTACGCCCAAGAAATCTACAAATCAGCGGCAAGAAAAATGGGAGTTGCAGAGCCCAAGCCCTTCACTGCTTCCGCTGGGTGGCTGCAAGGTTTTAAACGACACAACAAGATCACGAATACTGAGATAGTCGGAGAAGGAGCAAGTGCCGACCGGGCTGCCGCCATGAATTTTCCCCCATTTTTACGGAAAATTATGGAGGAAGGACAGTACACCGACGACCAAGTGTTCAATATGGATGAATCAGGGTTGTACTGGAAGAAATTGCCATCCAAGACCTTCGTAGTCAAGTCTGCGAGCAAGTGTCGGGGGCGCAAAATACAGAAGGAGCGCATCACCATACTGTTCACCACCAATGCCTCCGGCACTGCTAAGTTGAAGTTGTCTGTGATCCACAAAGCCCGCAAGTTGCATGCCTACAAGAATATGGAAATGAGCAAGTTAAATGTCCACTGGCTAACCTCAGGGAAGGCGTGGAGGTTCTCTGGTCTGCCCCTCTCCTGGTTTGACAACTGTCTCGTTCTTGATGTCAAGAAATTCTGCTTGCAAAATAATGTGCCATTCAACATTTTGTTGCTCCTCGACAATGAACCAGGACACTCGCCCCTTTTGCTAGATCGTCACCCCAACGTAAAAGTGGTCTTCCTTCCCGTTAACACTACGTCGTTAATCCAGCCCATGGATCAGGAGTTGATTTGCAACGTGAAGGCTGCTTTCTCCGCCAAGAAGTTTCGGCTCCTGAACAACTTCACCAACACCAAGGATGAACTGCAGAACCTAGAGAGTGGCACCGACAGCGAGAGCGAGGAAGAGGATCACGAACAAGATTTGGTGGACCATGAAGTGCGGGTCAAGCAGTTCTGGAAGCTGTTTAACGTGAAGAAAGCTGTTGATTTCTTGGTGGAGGCATGGGGGCAGCTATCTGTGGCAACGATTCATCACGCGTGGCGGCATGTGTTGGAGGGTATCCCAGGTGGGAGGCAGAGTCAAGAGGTGGCTGGCGAGGCTCAGTCTGTTGCAGTGGCATTGGACATTGCAAGAGAGGCTGCACAAAGTGTTAGAGCTGCAGGCTTCTCCGAGACCACCAACGAGGACATCCTGGAGGTAATCAGGCAACCTGAGGTGACTGCGGACGAGATGTTGGAAGATGATAACATCAGTGCGCAGCGAGGTGTTACAGAACAACAAGAGCAGAAACTAACACATGCTGATGTGAAGGAGGTCATCGAGTTGCTGAGAGAATTAAGTTCATCCTTGCCAAAGAGACAGGCAATCATCGCTACATAAGTGTCTAATAACCTTCTGTTGCAATCCCTGGAGCCCTATGTTCAGCAGTATCACAACCACATCAATGCTAGCCATCAACAAAGCACCACCGAGTTCTTCACCCGCCACCCACCACAGCCAGCCCAAGTCAGTGATAGTGAGGATGTGGACTTCGAGGGGTTTGACGAGGAGGCCCTGCTAGCCTCTGTGGTGGATAGAGATACAGGTGAGGGCCAATAATCTGCCCTCTGCCTCGGAACCAGCCCCCCATCCCCGTGTGCCCAGCCATCCCTTCTACTAACGTAAGTGTTAAAAAACCTAATATTATTGATATTTCTCTTATATATTAATTGTGTGCATACCATCATAAAATTAAGATGTTATTTTTATTACAATGTACGTATTGTGTCGGCGATAGCCAATAAAAGGGTAGTCTGGCAGTCGGCCCAGTCTCTATTTCAATTAATCCTATATGTTCTGTTATTTTATTTACGCGTTTCGCTTTATACGCGGACCTCCATGGGTTTAACTCACCGCGTAAACCCAGACTATACTGTGCTTCCATTTTTAAAGAAAATATTGAAGAGGCTAATTCTTACTTTTACTTTTTACTTTTATCCTCTTCGCCACTTATCAGCTTGTTAGCCGCTTGGGCGATCGGTCACGTCTCTCTTACACACTGTTGGCAGGTACGGGGCATGCACCGGCTCCTGAATGTACCTGAACCCGCTCCAGTGTTGATCAAGTCTGGTATTGAAAGAACTCACACTCTGTGCCGTCACAACACACTCTGGTAGATTGTTCCAAGAGTTTACAACCCTCACTCCGATAAAGTTTGCCCTCACAGATTTCTGCACTTGCGGCTTCTTCAATATTGAGCTGTGACCCCTAGTGGGGCGAGCGTCCGCTAGCTCCAAGTAAGGACACTCGACTGAGTAGTGCCCCCCGAGATGCTTATACACCTCAACTAGGTCACCCCTTGCCCGTCTGTAATATAAGCTAGACAAGTTCAGGCGCTCCAATCTCTCAGGGTAGCTGAGGTGCCGAAGTGCAGGCACCAGTCTGGTGGCCCTCCTTTGAACATTTTCAACCAACTGACAGTCCCTAGAATATCTCGGGGACCAGACGGGGTGACAGTACTCCAGATGGGGAAGCACTTCACTCTTGAAGATCGCTACGAGGGACGGACCGTCTAGATATCTGAACGACCTTCTTATAAGACCTAATAATTTAGTTGAATGATTTACCTTCTTCTCATAATGGCCCGAGAACTTCTACTAATTGTCAACAAACACACCTAGGTCCTTCTCACATTCAGTCTCAAATAGTGCAGTTTCTTCATCCCGTTGGGACATATGATATGCCTCCTTACCGTTGGTACGCCCCAGGTGCATCCTCTTACACTTCGTGATATGGAATCTCAGCAGCCATTTCTTCGACCATTTTTGGAGCTCACAATGATCCCCCTGCAGCTCTTCACAGTCCGCTTGGTTCTTGATTTCCTGAAATAACTTGGCATCATCGGCAAACATTTGTATGGAGGAGTGTACAACGTCATGCATGTCATTTATGAAACAAACAAACAAGAGCAGGCCCAATACACTGCCCTGTGGTACCCCGCTTGTGACAGGTACAGATGATGATTTCGTGCCATTAATCACCACACACTGCTTGCTGTCATGTAGAAAGTCTTCTATCCACGCTAGGACATTTCCCCGAATTCCGTACCCTTCTAGTTTGATTTTCAGCCTTTGGTGGGGTACACTGTCGAAAGCCTTGGCAAAATCTAGGTATATATTGTCGATATTACCACCCTATTCCAGAATATGGGTCCAAATATCCAATACCTTGAGCAATTGTGTTAAGCAGGAGCACCCCGGCATAAAACATGTTGGCAATCCTTTACGAGGTTTTTTCGTAGATGTTCCATCGCGGCATCTATGATAATACAGTCATGCGCCGGTTAACGTCCTAGATACGTTCTTCGAAACGTGACGTTAACCGAAATGGACGTTGTCCGAACATTACATAAACTTTTTATTTATACTTATGTGTAAGTGGAATACTATATACGTACATATACACTTTTACTGTTAATTCACTACTGTAATGTGATACAGGTGATTAATTTTTATCACTTATGCAAAATACATGACATTTATATTAAAATTATTCACTGTTTTACAGGGATTCCAGCAACGCCGAGCAGATGGGGGAGAGGGTGGGAGCGAGCGAGGGGGCGTGGGGGGAGGGGAGGTAGTACGTTTGACAGTTGGCACAGGCCCAGGTCTAACGTGTGGATATTTATCAGTTCCTAGGTGACTAAGCTTCTCTCTTATAAAAAGCCA